AATAGACGACGTTCGTCTATAGTGCGGCCACACATTTCTACAGTCTCGCTCACACGAGGGGCCCAGTGATATCTCTCTCTTTTACGAGAGGTATAAATCCCGTCTTGACTATCTACAATCCAGTACATTGTTTCCTCTGTTGTTCGTTTTCGTTTGCGGCTGTTGCTGTGTCGAGGATCGAGAGAGGAGATACGGGTGGGCAAAATATGCGAATCCGAATAATCGAATCGAATCTGACCGATAAATATCCGAACCGAACTGAACCGATTAAAATAATATATCCGATTGGATATGAATATTTTAAACTCGAAATACCCCAATCCGAAATAACCGAACCCAAAATAACCGTAAACCGAATAAACCGAACCCGAATTAACCATAACCGAAAATATCCGTTTATCCATCTATATATCATCAATTAATATATAATATATTCTAAATCTAATTAGAAAAAATAGTATAATGATATTGTTTTATAATCATAATATATAAAAAAACGAAATTTGGATGTATTTTACTGTTGTTTTTGTTATTTTTATAAGGTAATTTTTTGAATTTTTTAATCGTTTTTTTGGATAAACCGAACCGAATCCAATCCAAACCGAACCGAACCCGAATCCGAACCGATTAAAATAATATACCGATTGGATATAAATATTTCGAACCCAAATACCCAAACCCGAAATAATCGAACCCTATTAAACCAAAGCCCACCGATCAGGGAATATTACTCAAATAACCCACTTGGGTCGCAGCAATTTCAGTGTACACCACCGAAAAAAAATATATATATATTTTCAATTTTAACCCACTTTTCGGTTGGAAAAGTCTGAAATACCTTTTCTTTTTATTTTTTGCAACCTTATTACGACTAACATATAACTGATATACCACTAAAATAAGACAGATGATTTTTTTGCCACTTTTTTTAGAATCAATTGTAACTATATTTAGAATTAATTACGAAGTCGTAATAAAGAAGTTGTTTTCGAACGGATAAATATCGCGTATTTATTAAGGGTAATTTCGTCTTTTCAACAAAAAAAGTGTTATGTTTTTTCTGGTCTACACGTTAAATAGGTGCGAACCAACTGTATCATTTGAGTGAAATTCTCCACCGATCGCCCACCCGAACCATGGGTTGGAGAGGAGATCTATCGAGAAGTATGAAGGAGCTCCGGATTCTGCTCCGTACAACCATTGTCTAAGCTGTTTCGCTTGAAGTCCATGCCTTTAAATTTTTTTTTTCCGGATTGATCTCTTTCATATTGAATGGTTGCCTCAAATCTGTTTACAGATCTTTTTTTTTCCTCGTCTTTCATCGCTTTTTATTCATTAGAAGCCTCCTGGATTCCAGTTATCGGATGATGTTGGGAGTTTGCTAGTTCCCTGTCTTGGATGTGAAAGCATAAAAATTTCTGGTCTCTGTTATGGTAATCTTTTTGCTGGCTTTTCCCTTTGATAGAGAACTTATGTCGGATTTTACTGCAACTAATATTATCAGACAGAATATTTTGTAGAGAATGTCTTCATCGTTTGTCGTGTTTTGGCATCATATTGTGAACTTTACCTGATTTGAGGTGTGGTATGGGAACTCGATATCCCTTCTCTTGCACTGTGCCTAAAGTAATTAGGTTTGTTAGCACTCCGTGGGTAATCGGAGGTCATTGGACTGACAAAATTTTTGAGCAAAACCTGTGGGAGACTTATGGACAAGTTAAAATACTTTCCTCTGCCTTTTCTTTCGAATGTTAAAAATGGAGGAGCTTTCTGGCTTACAACTAATTCGTTGTTATCTTTAAATACTCGCCACTAATTTCCTTTCTCCGTTTCCAATTCAATGTACGGTTTTCATTTGTATAAACGATATGCAGATATGGGCATAGAGACTAGAGAGGTGTGTCAACTTGGATATGGAATGAGGGAGCCGCAGATTTTGAAGGCGCTCAAAGACCTTGTGAAAGCCGGAGGAGCTACAAAAGCCTAAGGTGGCGGTTGTTCAAAGACCTTGTTAAATTCCAACTGCGTTTCTTTCCTTTGGAAAGGTGTGATAGACTCTACCCATGGACACAAGATAGCTCGGGATATAGTTCCTGCTCCCAAAGGGGAAGGAGGACTAGGTTTACGAAATATACAAGTTTAAAATAATATATGTGAGCTGAAACTGGTTTGACAGATATTCTTTAAGAATGAATCATTATGTGTAGCTTGGATCAAGGAAACTTAATAGGACGAAGAGGTTTCTGGAAGGTTAACCCCTTACCAAGGCATTCATGGTCGTTTAGAAAACTCCTCAAGCTTTACCAGATGCCCCTCTCCTAATTACACATCAGAGCCGGCGATGGCAAGAGCACATTATTTTGGCAAGAAAATTGGACTCCCTTTGGTCCTTCAATCGGCTACCTAGGTAGTTCAGGACCTGCACCATTGCGGGTACACAAACACTCACTCGTATGTTGCTGACATTCATCGAGACGGAGTTTGACAACTCAGGGCTCCGCGATCAGATTTGATACTTCGGTTGCAGTTTTTCCTCACAAGTCAGAACCCTTTCGCGCTCATCACATACCGATGAAAAATTCTGGATTACTAACGGAAAACTTAGGGATAAGTGTGATGCCAAGGGTGTGTGGTCCTCTCGCGTTTCAATAATGCCGGAGAGGAGAGTTCCGTGGCATAAAACGGTCCGGGCAAAGCACGCAACTCCTAAGCATGCCTCTATTTGTTGGGTTTTCTGCCGTAATAGATGTCGGATGGACACACTACTCTCGCGGGGGCTTCAAGTTGACCCGCTATGTTTTTTTTGGAACCTGAGCGTGGAGACACGAGATCACCTTTTCTTCGATGTCAAGCGACCCATTCTATACTTACGGCGGGTTTAAGCCACTTTGGCATAAAGGAAAACCCTAACTAGTGGTCTCTGATGGAAATCACCTCCAATGAAATGTGCAGTCATGATAGTATGGCAGTTCGTCACATATACCACATGGAAGGAAAGGAATTCCAGATAATCTGAGACAGACCTACTTACATAACAACAATCCATATGTCATTAGATAGTCTGTTGTATCAAGCTTGGACTCGTGTGTACAAATTTGGATTGGAGCATAACTGAATTCCGGAACAAAAATGTCCAACCCTAATCTCTAACAATAGATAATTCCAAACATGATTTCTCAATTTATTTTCGGTTTGATCAAAAGAAATGTACAGAAGAGATTACCATGATTGTGTTTCTCATTTACAACCCAAAAAACCATCCTTTTTTAAGAGAGACCAAAAGCCTGGACAATGGGTTCATGACTGACCTCAAGAACTTGGGATAACAAACAATCCATCAGTGACAGTCAAGAACGAATCATAATGAAATTGGACAGTGGACACCAAGTTGTCATAATATGAAACATGCCACAAACCAATTCATCAAAATAGGGCAGGCAAACAATGATGAAGAGGACGAGAAATAAGATTCATGGAAATTGGACGTAAGATTTCAAATTGCAAAAAGAGTACTTAGAAGTAGTAATTTATGGTTCAAACACCATAGACATTACAACTACCGAGCAAGAAAATATAAACTAAAAAACATATGCTTCCTTCCATAATCTAAGATGAGCACCTTTTCATGGGGCTGTAACCTCAATCTCCCTTTCTCCTGAAAGAACAGCCCTCAGTGAGCCTAGCTTTACCGCCGGTGGGTTGGCACAACACTGTCTGGCAGTTTCCGCACACCACAACTGTCTGAGAGTGGCTAAACACAGTGGTTCTGCATTACAGATATCCATGTGAATCATTATTCACAATTCCACGAAAAACACAAGAACCTCTCTTCATAAATCTTCTGTTCAAGACAATTTTTCAAGGTGACCCTAAGAGATAACCTAATCTAGAAGAAGAGACTATATCAAGGATGATTGAAAACTCACATGTTGAAGCATCCCTGGCACTTCACGTCCTGCAAAATCAGGAATTCGAAATCAGACCCTTATGGAGTAGATCCGATTTTACCAATGTATATAACCTCTTTCTACGAAAATCAAACGAACACAAGGTTCCCTTAAACGATTGACCACCGAATTCCAGAAACCTAAAACTAAAGCAAAACAAAATACGTACCATGAAGAAGGAGTTAGGGGACTGGACGAGACGCTTGAGCTTGTGCTTCCTCTTCTCAAGCTCAGCCGGAGGGTTGAGCAGATCGATATCGTTTTGCAGAACCTGACAAACCCCGCGGATCCGAGATTAAAAAAAATCAGAATCTCGAATCAAAATCCTCCAAAACCAGAACACGGAAACCTTCCAAGGCAAAATAAACACTATTACATAAAACGAAAGAGATGAAAAGCACGAAATCTCACCATGATTATTTGCAGAAAATCTCGGAGAAGAAGAAGAAGATGAGGTCTGAGCGTAAACCCTAGCAGACGGCGAGAAGGCTCACGATGCAAGCGGCTTCGCAAAAGAAAGCTCTAGGGTTTAGGAAACAACGAAGGCAAATGTATTGAGGATGTGAACTACTGGGCCGGAGACTCTAAGCCCATTAACTCAATCCTCTTAAAATTTACATTTCGAGTTTTCCCGTAGTATGGTAATTAGGTAATGCCCTAAAAAATTAAATAATATTAGTGGAACAGCAATTTTTTAAAATGTTTGGATACAACTATTTTTAAATATAAAACGCAAAAAATTTCTGTTTTTTTTTTAACCGTTGTAGCTATCCATCTCCTATTCAAGTTTCTCCAATTGGACCCGACCAGGAAGCTTGTCTTTGTTGATATTGACGATGTAACCACATAATATACCAAGCAAATTCAAGAACTTGTGTTGAAAAATATGCTTTTTCATAATGCTCAAATCAAATACTTCATAAAATTTCTTAGTGAAATCGCTTTCAAGATCATTTACCAGTTCCTCGAGTTCGAGCTTCAAGTTAGAGAGAAAAACGTAATTCCAATTATATGGCTTGATCTTGGATTCGAGATTAGTTTAGACCTCTTATCAAAACACTCCATTACCCAAAAAAACTCATACGCATGTTATTCGTACCTCAAATCTCTCAACACTCTCGTGAAAAGGTTTGGTTACGCTCTCGAATAATATTTTCTTTAATTCTATAAAAGAACAAATTTATCGATAAATAAATTAATTTATAAATCTCTCGTAAAAATATGCATACATCGTAAATGAGGGGTCCCTTTATATGTTACATGTACTTCTATCTCTACCATTCCCTAAATAAAAAAAAAAATTCCACTTCTATTATACCCTCTCAAATGTTTGATGACCAAAATGCCTTATATTATTATTTTAGATTTATTTTTTTTAATGTCAAAACTTAGGGTTTCTCTCTCCTCTCTCCTTCTCTTATTTCGGTCTCTCTCTCTCTTCCTCTCTCTTCGACGGAGCTTTCTCTCTCTTACACGATTTCTCTCTCTTCTGAAACTTGCTTCTTCTTCTTTAAAATCCGGTGAAATCAAAGCTGAATCTTTTAGAAATCAGAGAGAAACTTGAAAAAATGTAAGGTATTGTTGAAATCACAGTCTTTTTTACGCACATTTTCGGATCTTGAGGTTTTTTTTTTAATTGATGTGTCTTTAGATTATTTTCTTCTAATTTTTTGTTGTTTGCTACCTAGAATGACATTGTTGTTTTGAATGTCGTGAAGTCATAATAGATCTGTGTCAGATATGGATTTTGGATGTTTATAAAGTGTCTAGTGTGTCACGGTTCACAGAGGTCACTTGTCACCATGATCAACATGGGAATATAGGTCATAAAGTTCACTATGTCTACCTTTCCACATGAGTGAATGTGCACAACATTCATATAGATCACAATACACAGAGATTATGAGTCACAAGGTCACAAGACCACACAGTGACATTATCACATGGTCACGGGTGATTAGAATAATAGTTCGCATGGGTCACAAGTATGACAAAGTCACTGTTGGGTTTTTCTGGGATCTCATGAGCAAATCTAATTCCTAAGAGATCGATTCTAGGGTCGATTCTAGGGTTTGCGCAGCGGATGTAAAACAAAAATTTTGATGAAACCCTAGAACCTATCATGCATGACTTGTAGAAACGTTAGAACGCTTACCTCAATCGATCCGGGGCCTGTATCAATTGATCTGTTCGTCCGATCACTGTAGGCAGGAAGAATACCTTGCCCTCTACACGTATCAACACGGCGGAAAGGATTCCAACGGTTGGAACTTGTCTGCTAGGACTGAAGAACACGTTCTTCTTTGCGCAAGGGTTTCAGGGATCTTTCTCTTAGGTTTTTCACTCTCCAAATCTCTCCCTAGAGTCTGAAATTCATGCCAAAAGCCTTGGGAGGCGTTCCCCAAAGTGAATCCCCCTTAAAACCCTAATTAGAGCGAGTTTAGTAAATTTCGACGTCTGGACCGATCGGTCTGGAGCTTTTACGTCTGGACCGATCGGTCCATAGGTCCGGACCGATCGGTCTGGAACACTTTCCAGACCGTGTGACTGTCACACGTTATCTCCGGAACGACCGGTCCACGTGTCTGGACCGATCGGTCTGGGTTGGCTGGACCGATCGGTCTAGACCTTCTAGACCGGTCGGTCTGGCCTCCGCTCCACTGGGATTTTCTCATCTCTTCTCGCGCATTTGTCCTTTCCTGTGTCTGTGACCCTGTAGGCTCATCCGATATAGCAGTATAACACGAAATCTCTTATTTCGGTTACACAAGTCATAAGTGTTGGGGTTCCCTTCGGGTTCCTAGCATGCGATCTCATCGATCTAGGGTTTGGATTCTAGGTTTCACGCAGCGGAAGGAAAGATCTAAACTTAGCCAAACGTCACACAAAACCAATTGTGCAATAACCCGAACAATCGTGTATATCGTCGTGGGATTCGAATACTTACCTCGTTCTTTCAAGATCTGGAAGTATCAATCGATCCAGGGCCTGTTTTAATCACCGAGAGTTGAAAGCACAACTCCTCTACACGTATCCACACCGGCGAGATGAATTCCAACAGTTTGGAACGTATCTGCTAGGATTTATGAAGAGAAAACGATGTCCTAGACCTTGAAATCGATATTCCAATCTCTATAACTCAAAATCAAGCTTCTCTAAGCTCTCATCAGAATGGAGACCGGACGGACCGTTCCGCAAGCACCAGACCGTCCGGTCCAGACCTGGACCGTCCGATCCAGAGGTGCAGACCGCCCGTTCCACGTAGAAATATGGACCGTCCGTTCTACGTTAAAAGCCAGACCGTCCGGTCCACGACCTAGACCGGACGGTCCGACTTTCGGGCAGATTTCCTATTTCGCGTTTTAAGGGTTTTGGACAATCTTAATTAATGAGAGAGCCGCC